CACAATTTAAAAAAAAATACTACTACTAGTACTAGTACTAAATTTTAAAGTGGTGAATTGAAATATTTGTCGTCTGTCGAATACAACGTGTATTCGACATTGCTTGTTGGCTAGTCTCAGATAAATGTTGTCCTAACATTTCTTGTTCCAACGTTTACATTTCAAGAGCTATATATCAATTCTTGTTGGGAATTTGTCAAAGAAAACTATAACGTATCAATATAGAATTGGAGATTTATGAATATTAAGGATTATGAGCAAACATTTTAAATATATACGAACGCAAAAAATGTAAGGAAAGCCATCAAATAGAATTTGACAATAGAATCAAACACTTTCTATGAATTGTTCATAATTTATTTATGAGTGCCATCTATTGATTAAAAAAGAAATCAAAAACATTATCATTTTATATTTTTCTTTGAATTTATATTTTCGAAAAAAGAATCCAGTATTGTCAAATATTGCGCGAATGAACTTAAACTCTTTATAAAAAGACATATTATACATAAATAAAAAAAATTATATAATTTCTAAAATCTACTACTACTATTTATATTTTTATTGTAAGATAAATGAATACAGTTTTCTAGTCACAATTCTATTTAATATAATTATATTGAAAGTTTCCGGGAATCTTGGTCCGCGCGGACGAGTTTATTTTCCTCGTTGAATTTTTAACACCTTGAATTTCGTTCAATTTTCACGAATAAAATTGTACAACGTCGCGCTTTATAAATTCTTTATCACAGCTAAGCGAAATCCGAAATGTGTTTAAATATTTATATATTTATTTTCTTTCAATTTCTATTAGAATTTTATTTACAAGACTCCGATTTATGTCAAGTAATATTCTTCGCAAATTTACACAATTAATATATTATATTCAAAGTATATAGAATAGAATTATATGTTCAAAACTCATCTAGCAATATGTAAGGGCAAACACATGACCAAAACCTTTTTCCTTCAGCAGTAGTACTTGAAAATAATTCATCGGGCTGTCTTTCTCCCCACAGCAGGAATAATATGAACCTACGTTTCTCAGGCTTTTTAAAATAATACTTTAAAGACTAATCTAAATAGTGTTTGAAATTTTGTTTCGAAAAAAGTATACAGAAACTCGGAAATCGAGCTCGAGCTTGAAGTTTGTTTCGACCCTTGAAACTTTACGAGGAGTAAGTCGCGGAAAACAGCTAGTTGAATATATGTTTACGATAGGTTTCCATAGCAGTTACACTTGTACAAAAACACATAAACATATTTTCCATTCTCATTGAAAGAGCTACTAAAATTATATGTTTTTCATACAATTGTTTCGGCAATGAACCCCATCCTCCATAGCGGAGGTATACCCACTAAACCTCTCTGTGCCTCCAACGCATCGGGACGGGACCACGCACACGCTTTCGCTCTCGTTCGCGGCCCCGTCTGCGCCAGCTGCCGAGGCAGCTCCTTCTCGGGGGGGAGGCAGCCCTCAGTCACCGGTGATGGACTCCCCCCGGCAACGAACACCCACGGTTATGCAAAACAAAACATAACTTTGTTCAACATAAGAGTAGAGACAATTTTGCGTTCATTTGTGGTGTTTCGTCGGACCTGAATCGCAGAAGTTTAATGAAAAAAGTTTTTAATTTGATTTTTATTGTTGCGGTACGTGAATTGAGAATTTTTTTATAGTAAAATGTGTTTATAATATGTTTTTTGTAGGAAAATATGTTAATTATGTTCGATTGATTGAGCTTCGGTATTTTAAAGTTTTGTAACTTAATATGATGCGCCTAAAACTAGAGACGTGGTTTCTTGTTAACTAATTAGACAACTAGGTAGATAAATACATGTTCATTAAACATTAATTTTATAATATAATGATTATGTTTAACCTCGAGAGTCTTTTTAAAACATACAGAACTATAATACTAGGTTTGTAATTCAGTTTTTTTTTATTTAAATACGTATAAAGTTTACGCAATAATGCAATTCCAAACTTTCTCCTCATAAAATTCACAATCGGAATAAAAATTTATTTAAACTTTTTCAATTCTGAACTAAATTGTAATTGTTATAATTGAGAACTGCAAACTATATTGCGACGGAATTTTTTATGCAGCCCACGTGCGCACCGACTGTCGTAAACTTCTAGGAGTGTGCTACGTAAGTATTATATTTAAATGTATTGCAAATTAAAAATGTTACGTTAAATCAAGAGTTGAAATACCTCTGGAAGATTTTAAATTTTTATCACACATACTCTAGGGCAGGGATGGCAAACCTTTGCATATCAACGTGTCATTTTTGTAAAGAAATTTAGGTCACATGAGTGTCATCAAAAAATGTTAAACATTCCGTAGTGTAAGGATTACTCTTCACACTTTTGCCGAAGTACTTAATAATTTTTTTGATCTGTGACGTACCCTAATATTATGTCGCGTGCCATAGGTTTTCAACCCCTGCCATTGGGTTTGTCAGTGGGTTACACATGAAAGATTAGCTCAAATCTTAGCATCAGTTCTTAAAACATACTAGATGTCGCGCGCGACTTAGTAATTAATATAATAATTAAAATAAAAACTTATTTAGTATAGATCTATGCCGTAAATTTCAGCGAGATCCATTCAGCCGTTTTGGAGATACCGTATAACAAACATTGATCAATCCATCCATCCAAACATTCGCATTTTAGTAGAACGATTTATTGGAGTGTGGTAAAAAAATTGCAGTTACCAACAATGTAATAGTAATTTCACAATCTTTATGTGAACTTATCGATGTAGTTTAACGCTCGCGAGGCGGGAGATCGTAAAAGCTTTCTACGTGAATCGCTGCTGTTAGTGCAATAGCAGAAAACTACCGCGATCTCGACAATTAACGTTTATTTTAACGACCAATGCTACCTCATTTCATACCACTTATAGTGTAAATAACCTTGCAGCTAATATTACTAATATTATAAATGCGAATGTTTAGATGTATGGATGGATGTTTCTTAAAAAGTATCTCCAGAACGGCGGCATAGATATCGCTGAAACTTTGCATAGATGCAAAACATATTTTGGAAGACCACTTAAGCTACTATTTTTTTTAATTCCGCCCGGATGAAGTGCGGACGACACATAGTAGGTTATAATTGCAATTATTGGAAGAGTTTTCCCAAGGAGGGCAAACCGCTCATTTGCCCCTTCTTTTAGAAAAAAGTACCAAAATATGCGAAATCTATAATAAAGAAGGTGGAAGAAAAACTTATTTGATGTCTCTACATCAAATAGAAAGAAAGATGGATGGATCAATATATGAGATGGATTAATAAGTAGATTAATGATTCGTTTTTCTCTTCATTGTGAAGGGGGATTCGAGTTTCTATTACGCTCCACTTTCGTACATCAGTGTGATAGCGTAAATAATTTATTAAATTATTAACGCATCTGCGGTTCCTCTGGTATTGCTGATGTCCATGGGCGTCGTTGAACACCTCGGTGTTCCCGATGCTCGTTTGCCCCCTTCTGTTATAAAAAAAAACAAAGTTATGCATCAAATGAATATTTTAAAATATTTCAAAGTTTCGTTTTAATTTTAATATACACAATATTATTAAAAGTTTTAAATTAACAAAGTAAATTGTTCATT